TCACCTGCAAGTCACGTGGAAATAGTTATTCAAGAAATCCTCGGACGTCACATTCCGCCATGCGCCGTATGGGCCTGCATGTTAGAATCTACATATTATCGACATTTTATTTTAATACCTTAGTGTAGCATGCTTATAATAGTCCAAATTTGTGAATGAGGCGTCAGGTAACACAAGTTCATTGGCGTGACCATTTGCAATAAAATACATGACCAGCCCTTCGAATCATAGACAAGCAATCTTCGCTTGTACAGCATGGAAGATGAAATGCATAGTGGATGTACCATGCAATTTTCTCTGTGCCTGACCGAGACTTGGTGAAATTAAGCTCGCGGTCAAGAACATTGTGTCTGCTGCTTAGAGAGACTGCTTAGAGAGAGAGAGAAATTTTGGGCAATGCTACGATGTAGACGGAAGTAAAGTTGGGCATTGAGTAACTTGAGAAAAGTATCATGACCAAATGATCGAATGCAGCCAAAAACTTTCACCAAATCACAGGCAAATATACAAAACGCCACGAGAAAGAGGCAAGACACGAGCAGCTAACGATATTCGGACCAGCAAACGCGTCCAAGCAACCCCCCATCTCTCGGCAAGTTTACGTACCACAATGAACCGCCATCCGCTTCATTGGTAATTCTGGACCAGTCTGACAGCCACTCTGACGTCATAAAGACGTTCCATGACACCTTGAGGAACGGATTTATGAAATGGTGAAATTGTGTTGTCTTGAGCAGTTTTTATTAAAGAACCCAATAATCGCAAACGTGCTTATTCCATCTTCTTGGATGCTTGCCTCATTATATTCAAATGTGAGATGTTCCATTTAATGTTACAGTATTGGACCGGCATGCGATCGTCGGATTCGTCGGCTGGCGCCCTTCACCCACGCCTTCCGTGGAAAGCCGTACAATGTTCGCAAAAAACCGTCGCGACAGGGAAACCAGAAATAGCAGAGACACGTTTTTGTGTCAAAACACCCACAGCAAATGTCCCATACCCTATTGGAAATGTGGACGCGATTACACGACATGTCGGAAAGCATGTCGTGTAATCTAACCTAGGGGGGGGGGGGGAAGGAAGGTTGCTTTGACTCCTATGTCAGGCCCAATGTTAAAATTATTTGTAATCGAGTGTGGAGAGTGGGAATATGCACGCATCATAACATTAGCTGAGGACTGTAAACTCGCAGCGTAGAATCGCAATCTGACGGAGGCACGTATTTGTTGCCCTATGACCCCCTAAAGCGCATTACTAAATGAGGGCGACCGGCGGGCGCGTAGTGATGGGCATTTTAAAGATAGTTACAACACACCCGCACCGGTGTGTGGGGTCGTGCGCTTTTGATTCCATTGGATAAAGGCTGTCGAGTGGCATTTTACCGTCGCGTTCGGCAAGCGACAACTATTTGTTCACCTGACAGTGGGCTATTGAATGCAGGCGGCCGTCGAGAGTGTGCAGGTAAGAAACAACGCAGCGTTGAGAGAGAGAGAGAGGAGAGAGAGATGAGAGAGAGAGAGAGTGAGAGAGAGAGAGAGAGAGAGAGAGAGAGACAGACAGACAGACAGAACAGACAGACAGACAGACAGACAGACAGACAGACAGACAGACAGACAGACAGACAGACAGACAGACAGACAGACAGACAGACAGACAGACAGACAGACAGACAGACAGACAGACAGACAGACAGACAGACAGACAGACAGACAGACAGACAGACAGACAGACAGACAGACAGACAGACAGACAGACAGACAGACAGACAGACAGACAGACAGACAGACAGACAGACAGACAGACAGACAGACAGACAGACAGACAGACAGACAGACAGACAGACAGACAGACAGACAGACAGACAGACAGACAGACAGACAGACAGACAGACAGACAGACAGACAGACAGACAGACAGACAGACAGACAGACAGACAGACAGACAGACAGACAGACAGACAGACAGACAGACAGACAGACAGACAGACAGACAGACAGACAGACAGACAGACAGACAGACAGACAGACAGACAGACAGACAGACAGACAGACAGACAGACAGACAGACAGACAGACAGACAGACAGACAGACAGACAGACAGACAGACAGACAGACAGACAGACAGACAGACAGACAGACAGACAGATAGGATAGATATAGATAGATAGATAGATAGATAGATAGATAGATAGATAGATAGATAGATAGATAGATAGATAGATAATAGATAGATAGATAGATAGATAGATAGATAGATAGATAGATAGATAGATAGATAGATAGATAGATAGATAGATAGATAGATAGATAGATAGATAGATAGATAGATAGATAGATAGATAGATAGATAGATAGATAGATAGATAGATAGATAGATAGATATATATATATATATATATATATATATATATATAGCGCAGATGAATACGTAGAGCTCATTAGAGCTCCTAGAACTCATTTTCTGAAGAAGAAAACACAGAGCCACCGATTTTCTTCAAACCGATATGCATTTGAAAATATATTCATTGCCGTCTCGAGGGGAAAATAAGTCCATGGGATCTCCTCTGTATTGGTCACAAATCGAGCTTGAGCCCTAGCAGATTTCGCAGGGCGCCATGAATCGACTGACCGGCACTGCATGGCCAGCCGCGATCATCTCACTCCGTCAGGAGCATGCAGTTCTGCCGAATGCAGTCTTGCCTTTCCAAGCACACGCCTTTAGGAAGTGCTCAATACAAAGAATCGGTGACATTAAACCAAAAACAGAAAAAGCGCTTGCGCGCTATAGCGATACTCCAGCGAGGGCGGTGCGACTGTTTCCACCATTACCAGCAAAAGTCGTGGACTTGGGGAGTTGTAACAAATGTGCAAAACTGCCGTTCCAAACTGAAGGCGTACGTAAATTCAAAATCATTTGCCCAGAAGCACAAGGGAAAATGTTGTTTTCGCGCAAAATCACCCAGTTATTTAGAGAAGAACAACGCTATTGAGTATTTCGCAGAATTTGATGATAAATCGAGTACGGCTTGCATGAAAAGTGCATTGTCACTCCCTGTTTTCGATATTGCTACAATCCCATCAACGAGTGGGTGTGTCGGAGCCACATAATCTGTGTACACGAGCTCCAAACCAACTGTGAGATCGAGCTCAGACACGGCAAGTGCGTGGTCGTTGTGCGAGGTCGCGTGAATTGCACATTGCTGACCACGGTTTGATGCATTTCTTCCCGTTCAAGCAACAAGCGTACTCCTTTTTGCACGTTTTGTATGCACGTTTGTGAGCAAAAAGAAGGAGCTTGAAAGTTCTGTCTTTAGTTAGCTGTTTTTTAGTTGTTTTTCCCCTTCTGAGCAAGTTTATTTCTTTTTGCGTCTAAAAAAGAATAAACTTATTATGCCCGTCCCCTTCAACAGGCAGGACAAGTGTGATTCCTCAAGTGTGACAAGTGTGGACAAGCGTGCACCACCTGTTGCCTGTCCACTCCCAGGCTTGAGAGAGAGGAAGAGTGGTCAAACTCATAAGAGACCTGCTGTTGATGCCTTTTGATGATATTTTTCGCCATTTTTTCCTTTGCAGCCCCCCTTTCCCACACACAGATGCGTACGAACCTATTGCTGGAAAACTGCTCTCTCGAGTCATGCACATCACTGCGTCTCGAGCAAGTCGGCATCTCCCATTGCACCGGGCTGCAGAAAGCAAAAATGTTCGAGCATTTCTTCTTCCAACCAAGCCATTTGCTTACTAACTCTCCGCGGGCGGGGGCAGCAGACGGGTGACGGCGGCGTTGCCGGGCCGGGTATCCGCCGTCGGCCCTGGACGGCTATATGTGTAAACTGGAGCGGTGGCGGACGCCCGGCCCGTCTCGAGCTTGCAGGTCGGACGAGTGGGCGGTGGGTCGCGGGTCCCCGGCGGCGGTGATTTTTTAGTTCTCAGATTTAATCGTTCGTTTTTGCGCCAGTCCACTGGTCATATCATGCACTGCTTCATGTCCAAAATCGAAAATAAACAACAAACAGTCTCGGGAACAAGCGGAGGCGCCTTCCGAGGACGACATGAGTGATGCAGGAACACTCAGCCTCTCCAACGCACGCACATTGCATGAAATGCGCTGCATACGTGCAGCGCGCTATACGTGTGTGCATTGCGCAACATGGTGACAGCGCGTGTGCGGACACTTTTAAGTGGTTCCGGTCCAGATAGCACATCAGCTTGTAGTGTTTTTGTCCGGTACTGCCGCGAATTGTTGCGACGTGCGAAAATGTCATGACACGGCTGCAGCGTGTAAGGTCCACGTTTTGTGATATGCTGTTGGATATCGTGTCATAAAGACATGAACGCTTTTTTGCTCACATCTACCATGGCTGGATTGCAGGCTCGATGTCTTTCGCCGGATGCCGCACGGCTGATGTGGTGGCAAACTATCCATATGGTGACGAATATCATGTACTGTGTTTAACACTGTACTTGAAACTATTTTCACCCCTGACCCAGGCAAGAGGTTAGTCATCCTGGCATGGCCAGGTTTGAGCTAGAGCTAGTTGGAGCTAGAGTCACGGATTCTGGTTAAGAACCAGTACAATCACTTAAATCGGTAAAATCTCAGATCCAAGAA